ATAAAGAAGAATCGAATAATGGGATCGCTCACATGATTGATTGATTGAGGATATAGATGTACGAATACAAATACAATTTGTACTCGGGAAAGATTATGACCTCCCCCCCCCCCTCAAAACCTGCAATTTTCAGAATTTGTACTCTGATATACTGTCATGTACCGAGAAAAAGCTAGGATTTGTAGAATTTGTCCTTCGATGTACCGAGTAAGGCTACCGCTTCATTTGTGAAGGAATGCAAACAGACATGAAAGGGTGCGGATGGCTGTGGGTGTAGAGAGTGTGAATGTTGATATATGAATCAGTACCAGAGGTGCAGAATCTGCCGCTAAAATAAAAAATTTCCCCAAACGGCAAATTTTTTATGAAAAATTTCCCCCACTATAGAATTCAATGAAAAAACGAGTAGTCCCCGTTAAAGATGATGTTTATTCAAAAAAGAATAACTACGACTACACAACAAATTGCAAATACACTTTAGAAAAAAAGAATCTTATTATTCAATATCATCTGGTTCAGGTAATCTTCCAACTTGTACTTTACGTAAACGATTTAAAACAACTGAGCCAGGAGAAACAAGTTTCCAAACTTGATATTGTTCACTTTTTTTATAAAATAGCCATTGTCTATCCTTCGTATGACTAAAGTATTCATTGAGTGAACTTGTAATGAATAAATCAGCTGAATGTAATGGTGGTGCATTCCAGTGCAACATTACTTCTTCATCTAACGAAGTGTGTTGTAATGAACGATTATTGTGAATGTGTCCTTTTAAAATTGACGACACTGATTCACAGACTGCTTCACTTCTAATTTTCAATATCATCAAAGAATAGAAGTATAAAAAATCATGAATACCATCTGCTAGTTTTTTATTTGTATAAAATGTTTTCATTACTTTCGGTGTAATTATTTTCCCATTTGTTGTCCATATATCAAATGTATCTTTATCTTCAATTTCAAGTAAACATCTTTGTTTCCATTCCGCATATTGTTGTTGTATAGCAGTTGCATCTATTTTTACGTATTTCGAGTTCAGTGTTGTAAAATCAATTAATTCTTGTAAAGCCGACCGACCATAATCTGCTAATTTCTGTTGACCAGTTAATACCACCTGTTCGTATAATGACGATACATCTAAACAGTTTTTCATCAACAGAAAAATTGATGGTGTATCTTTAAAACGGGTTTCAATTGCTTCAATTAGTTCTTTACATAATACAATTAATTTTTCTCGAACACGTGAAGTTGGATCTTCTATATCATAATCACCTTTACGTCTAGTGATGGGACGTTCTCGAAATATACAATTAAAGAGACTCTGATAATGTTGTTCCATATACGTTGTTGATGGTGTTGCTGAAATCAGTTCTTCTTCGTCTCTCTCAATATCAATGTTATCATAAACATCATCATCAATGGTTGTTGTTGTGATGTGCGAAGTAATTGGTGAATCTTGTTGATATTCTATGGTAGAAATAATATTGATAGAACGCGAGAATACATTCTACAGTATAAAATAGAGTTTTACCTTCAATGCTATCCATTTCTTGTGTTGTATTTAGATCAAGTTGTTCAAGTAGCCTAGCATAATTATTTAAACATTCTTTTAAACGTCGTATTGCATCATCATATTCCCATGGATATTTATCAACGTTTTGTACAAATACCGATGCTTTCACAATGATATTGTATATATCAATTAATCCTACAAGTTTGCAAACAAAATCGACGGATTTAATTTCTTCAATCTACAAAAAAACAAAGGAAGAAAGAAATAATTATATTGATTGCAAAAATTAGATTGTAACTCACCTGTAAAGTACCATTATCGTCAGCACCAGTTTGTTGTGAATTAATATTGTGTCGACTTCGTGCACTTAAATTACCACCAGTTAGTGCATTAACAATACTATCTTGTTCATGTAATTCATACAATGTTGACCAGTCTCTCATCATAGTTTCATAAACACGACATTCTGAACTAACAAAACGAGTAATATGGAATTGTTTCGGTTGTAAAATATCTTCTTCTATTAGTTCAGCTGTTTCTAATAGTTGTTCATATTGTTTACCATATGAATATTTTCTCATGATCATAGCACATGTTTTTATAAATCTTGTTAATCATAAAAATTTTCTTTGTTTTTTAACATCATGAATAGCTAGCTCAAGTAAATGAGCACTATCCCATGATATTGATAACCATTCTTCTCTTATACCAATCTTTTGACATAAATGTTTACCAATACTCAAATGAATATATGCACCATCAACAGCACAACCAACTAATTGTTGTTTTAATATTGATTGTGACAAGCTGAATGATTCCATTACACGAACACAGTTATCAGATAATTCCTCACCAGACAGTTCTGTTTTACATAATGGTGATTGAAGATAAATAGGTGTCCATTGACCATCTACCATTACTATCATCATTGTTACTTGCATTGATCTTCTTAATATCGTTACTTTATCAAATGTTATTGCAAAAGCTCGACGACGTTGCGTGATAGGGTCAGTTGTTTGTAAATATTCTATAACTCGTTCTTTCATAGTTCTTGCCATTGATGCTCGAAGTTTCGCAAAAAACCACCGACTATGTCTAAATATAACAGAAACGGCTCGTATGGTGCATGTAAAGACTACAGAAAAATTTTATATTTACCTATATGTGCCAACAGCTGCTCCAGATAAATCTAATAGATTTAGTGTTTCAACAAATTTAAGACCACCTAAACCACTCCGAATAGAAAATAGAGCAGCTCTACCAACATTCATTCCTGCTTTCTCATTTTTCTTTACAAAATCTTCAAACGCTTGTTTTCTTTCTTCTTGTTCTCGAACACACCATATATGTAATTTGTTTAAAAAGTGTGATTTTAAATTTGTTTTTAAGCTTCGAAATCGTTGTGAGAGAGGTTCACCCACTTTTTGTTCAATATGTTGAAATATACCAAATGAAGATTTAATGGAAGTTAATAGATGTTTTGGTGCTTGTTTTTTCCACGTAGAACAAGGAATACATGTGATCGTATCTAAGTGA